GTAATTATATATGACGATCGTACATAATAAAACACAAATACACCACAGACTGGACTTTTCTTGTCTTTCAGCTCCTATTGTTAAGACTTGGATTGTTAAACGTCGGCTCACCTCCTTTGCCAATCCACTTCATCTTCGAAATCTTTCGCACTCTGCGCTAATGTTCAAAACGAAAAACGACCAGGAGTTTGTACTAATGAGTTTATGAACAACGGTAAAGTGCATCTGTACAAGGCAGAGTATGGCATGACGGGGGAGAAAGTCCCAAGTAAGTGAGGAAATCGTCAAATAGGTAGAAAATGGATTTAACATATGGAAACGGCCATGTTGGTTGATGTAACAAAAGAGACTGATTACAATTCTTAGTTTTTGTTAAATTCGACCAAAATGGCGGCTGTTAAAACCTGCAGCGTTACTAACTTTCTTCTTCGGGGAAATGGGATGTTTCTTTTCCAAAATACAAATTACAATAGCTGTTATTTTGAACTAGATACAAAATGATGATTGACGAAATAGAAAGCGCGCATGCGTGCTGTAGGCTTTCATAAAGAGATCGCCACGACCAATCGGAAAGCGAGATTTACTAAGACTTGATATGTTTATTTCATAATCGTTTTTCAAGATGTAACAGATTTGATTCTCATGCGCGATGAGATGGGAATGGAATGGACTTGGATCATGCAACGTGAAGGTCAACTGGTGCCAAAGAAAAAACAAGTCACTTCTGCAGAAGCCAGGAAGCAAATACAAAGGATTCGTGGCCGAGACTACGACCCGGTCCTTGAAAACCCCCATTATGCGCAGGAGAAAATGAGAGAGTACTTCGAAGTGGAAGGAAAACACAATTACCTTGAGGAAGGTTACGACAGAGCACCTGATGAAGAAGACTAGAAATTTATTTCTTGTTAGAACTGTACTTACTAATTGTCTTCTCTTAAACTAATCCAAACTTGACCCCTTTTTCTTACTAGATAATTATGCTTCGGAAATAACATAAAAACAGAAGCCAGACTGAGAAAAGTTACAGCCAGTCTCTTTCCATTTATTATACTCGGTTCGTCTTCGCCGCGCGCATCGACAAATTAAAAGTGCGGGTCCATGTCTGGACTACTCTTTGCTACTGACAATATATTTTGATGATCGATGAAAATGGCTTAAAGTGTGCATATTTAGATTGTATGGCAATTTCTGGCGCATTTCAACTTCGTTATCTCTAGTATAAACGAAATAAGTGAAAGGTCTTGAATCCCCAAGATCATAACAAGATTGCAAGAGCCCATGATATTTCTACTACTTTGCCATTCAATGTCCATGTTGGCAACATCAAGAAACCTAAATGCATATTCAGTTGCCTTTTTTAAAAATTGGACGACTAAAACAATTGCGCATAAGATGCAAGATTTCATCTGCTTTGAAAGATGCAAGTACGTGATATGAATTCCTCTTCCATGTGCTCCAGGTAAATTAGACACACGGTTCGAGAACAGAGGCCAATATACATGGTATAAATAATTCATCTCCGATCCGTAGAAGTTCTTGCAAACTCTACGTATGCCTCGTAACGCCTTCTCTAATGATACAACAAGATCAATAATAGATCTATAACTTAGTGAGTGATTATGAGACTTGGCTAGTGCTCGTTCGGACTAATAATGAATCGAAAGAGACGGCTTGACTCCTGGCTTACGTTGAACGGCGCCAACAAACCGCGTCAATTGTAAGTTAAACACTTCCTTTATGGTAGACAGGATTCTTCGCATTACTGTGATTTTGATGGTGTGGTATTATATAGACACGCACCCACGTACTGAAAGGAGAATCCTTAAGAACAGATCAGTAGGATTTGTGTTTTCCAAAGTTATGAAAAATCCGAAGCATGATCAACGGTAGAAAGTAATTATTGAAATAAACGGTCAATTCTTCGTTTGTTTGGAGTTCCTCAGAGTCTTTTCTTGGACCTATTATTCAGTATTCGTTCATCCCTGATTAAAAAACCTATAATTCCAATGTCAAATCAATGCCAATTTGTTTTGGAAAAAGTTATATTTTTTTATTTTCTGGTATTTGTTCGCAATCTATTTGTTCGCAATTTTCCCTGCATCCAACCTTTTGTACATGAGAAGCTAAGAACCTTAAACGGGTCTTCGGTTTTAGAAGTATAGACTCGACGTCGCCATTAAAACAGGTGAACAAATTGTTCAAACATCGATCATTCAAAGATTCCTAAACCACTCTAGTCCTTTCTTGCTGTCAACAACTTCCTGTATAGACCGTTAGAAGTACGTTAAATCAATGCAACTAGAGAAGCCCTGTCGTGTGATCGGAAGTGTGTACCTTCTTAATTAATACTTTCCTTTTGAGACAGGAAGCCATATTGTATCGCCAATGATGTTTGATTGGGTTATTTACACCTCATTGCGGTTTTTACTCAAGCACCACTCAATCAAGGGTTGATAAACGATTTCTAAGACAAAGTCATTTACGACCAAGTTTTTTTTTAATTGTCTTCATACATTTTTATCAGTAAAATACCTGGGTTTAGAACGACAATTTATGCCTCGAGGTACACGTAATATTCTTTTCCTCAGTAACTAACGCGTCAATGTATCAAATTATTTGATTAAAGAGCATGATTAAGTAAACTTTTTGGCAGATTAGGAAACATAGGTTTTAATATCATAATGAACGGCGCGGCGCGCGCCAAAACTACTATAATATATATTTTATTTTGTCATGAAATGAGGCAGAGTCGTTGCCGGTTCTTCTCAGTATACAACACACTTCACATTCACTACCACTACATCTAATATTCTCACCACACAACTCTCAACTCACATGCTGATTTTTGCGGAGGCAGTCTGAAAACCGGAGAAACTAGCTGGAGAAAACCCGTGGTGGCAAGGGAGAGAACCACACGTCAAAACAAATTCGACTCTTCCTTTTAATCTCTTCCCACTCTACTCTTGTTAATTGAGTAAATATTTTCGTGGCAAAAGAGTGGAAATTCTTATTGCAGCAGCTGGTAGTCCTGGCATAAGTATCGTAATTCAACTACTCCAAAGAACTCCAACTAAAATATAACCCTGATCAGTTGCGGGCGGGAAGTCGGCTCGTGAACTTTGGTAAAAGTAAAAAGAACTCTATGACTCAACACTAGCGCGAAAATATCTGACAGCACGAAAGGATTATTACACAATCACAGGGTTCAAAAACTGCAACTATGTACGTATCAACAAGTTGATAGTAGTCATAGACAAATGTAATTCCGGTGGCATCATTTTAGCAAAGTCTACAGAGACGTAAATCCAAAATTGCAACATAACTGATGAAGTGGCAGAGATTTTTAAAACTTTTTATTAAAAAATGAGGAGTATTGTATCACGATTTAGCTTGTTCCGTCAGTCAGACGATCCATGAAAAAACGTAGATTGGACTCATTTTTTCAAGAAATAGGAGTGAAAAATTCTGGGCCGCTAGTACCGGCGGTGAGCTAAGTTTGCTCTATATGCAGTTACGCCTTATGAATACTTTTAAAAACGTATAACAGTTCACTACGAGCTACTATGAAACGATGCGTCTTCTTGTAGAAGCACCATTAACTATCGAAGCACTAATAAAACCAGCGAAGCGAACAATGAACCATGTTTAACATCAATAATATTCACAACACCTTCATCATCAATATTTACAATTTTACTCAATTTTTCATTATTACTCTGTATATTTACATTGCTTTCAAATAATAATTTTGGTTTTTGATTTTATCTGTCGATGATAATCATAATATAACTTCATCCTTGGAGTGGAATCGTGAAGTGTTCATATTTTTAGTCTCACTATCCAGTGGTCAACTTTTTTTTTTAACGGTCTTCGTAGAACTGTCCGTTCTGGGTCATTGAAATTGTTTTGTGTGGTTTCAGAACACGTTCTCTAGTTGCCTGTAATTATAATAGCGGAACAGCAGACATTCGTTTCTAAGCCTTTTATCAGTTAATGAAGTCGTGAATTGACTTCTTAACTATACAGAGAGGACAACTCTCTGTGGAGACTTCAAAGATAGATATCTTGGATTTTCGCATAGTTTATTGTCGCTATGATGGGTAGTTTTTTCTACAAGGCATACACCGGCAGGACTTCACAATACTGACTTTCTTCACAACTGGCTTTTGAAGCCCAGGACACTTGAGTTCAACACTTATGACATTCTTTTCAACAGGAGTGCAATACGAACATGACACAAAGTGGTTCGGGATGAACACAGAAAGGCACTGCCCAACGCAGACATTATTCGTGATATACGTTGAATTACACCCATGATGATGAATCTTCTGAAGGAATTTTCTCGTCTTGCACCAGTCTTTCGGTATTGCTGTTCTTAAGAATGGAAGAACCAAAAGAGTCGAGCCACCCTTCAGTGGAAACTTTTTGTTGTGTGTTTTTTGAGAAGTCGCCGATGATGATGATGGTTGAACGACCACTGATGTTCCTGAAGGCATATGATTTTTTGGAGATAATGGAAACTTATTCTGCAGAGGAACCTTTCTCATCGATCCTTGACTTTCTAGATCATTAGTAGAATATAGCGAATCCTGTGATAACGATCTTCCGTTATTGAGTGAAGCCTTCAGCATTACTATTAGTAGAATTATGATACCGGTCTTAGACTTAGGAACGACCAACATGTTCAATCTGCAACAAAAAATAATGACAATGTTACAAAAAATATATTATCGAATTTCCCTCTCCAAAGATCCTTGAAGACCTAAACTTAATTAGCAGCTACTGTTTTGAATCAGGAAAGTTCACAAAAGCATCAAAATGTAATCTCGGTTCTTGCATTGTGGTTAGTGCTAAACGATTCGCATCTCTTCTTGTCATAACTACTGAAGACATTTTCCTAGATCGACAAATTAGCCTAGGAACATTTAATGCTTAGCAAAGTAGAGTCCAAAATGCAAGGAGTTCTGCGACTAGCAACTTTGTCATTCAAAATCAAAAACAACAGACAAACATTGATCGTTCAGCGTAACGCATATGATTACCTTGACAAACAATAGTTTTCGAGGAAGTAAAGTGTAAGGGAGCAAATCTTCGGACTTGATTTTCCTGCAACTTCAAAACCGCGTGTTCACTCAATGATCGTATCTCAAAAGCCTCTTATGACTGTTACTAAGTTAAAAATGGGGTGATCGTTTTATAGAGGTTTCAGGCCGCCACTAAGTCTAGCTTGTGATGATCTTAGCACGTTTAAACTACAAGGCGATAGACCTATTGGCAAAGAAACAATAGTTAAGTACTGAGTGTTTTGTTGACAACCAACAATGGCTCCAAATGATTAATGAAAAGAAGCGAATTTAGGGTTTTTGTTTCTTAATAACTGGTTAGATAATATGGCGCCTAGGATGAATATGACGCTCTTCGTTGAGTTACCTCATGTGGCCTCTATACTTTAATCATCTTTAGCTACTAAACACGAACTCATTAAATATGTAATCATAAAATAAACGACCAACTAGACAGCGCCTTGGAGCCAGTAGAGTAAAGACTCACTCATACTTACTTACCAACCTATATAAATTAGTTATAAGATAATTGAGGTAGTCTACAATGTTTGCAAAAATATAGACACTAAAAAAGGGTGGTCTGTAAAAATCCGGACAATATAATAATTGCGCATTCATTTTATCTTAATAATATAAATAAACTTCAGAAACAAAGAAACAAATAGTCAAAATCATGTCAAAAGTATTTGTTTGCTATACACTCAGTCTCTAAACCAAAGGATGTTTGAATACTTTGATATTTGAAGTAACTTGTACAGGAGAAACGAAAACTAATAGCGCTGAAAGCGCAATGCAGCGCTTGGCCTGAGCATCACGACTACTCGTTAACCGGGTTATCTGATCAACAATTAATTTGTGTCTGAAATCTTAAATCCTTGAACACATCTAGATAATTAACACTTAAAGATTATGATACTGTTTAAATTACTTTTTTTTTTTTAATACGAGAAAAGAGGAAATAATGATGCGAATAAATGCTCGACAAATAACCGTTAAAAGAAAAGATGTTTCGAATAAACTGCATTGTTATTTCACTTTTGAAATAGAATTTACGACTTACCAAACTTTGTTATCCACCAGTTTATAACTATTGCAGGAAGAGAAAATTCCAGCGTTTGAAATCACTCTTTGAGCTTTACCACCAAAACTCGGAGCATTTTTAAACCCAAGAGAAAGTTGTGATACATGCCGGTAAGTCAATTCGGTCTCAGCCCTCGCACACCGAAGGGGGCCCATTGAACTTTCAACAGCCATTCAAAATATTTGTCTTTTTCACCCACTATCCGTCCAGTAGAGGATTTTACACTGTATGACTGGCGACGATTTGTCTTTGTTTAGTCATTATCCAAGCGTGGTGTTTCTAGAAGTGCTGAGTTGACCAGTTCCAAGGAAAGCCCTTTATTGCAGGAAGGAAAAGCATCGATGACATCATTACGGATGTTTTGAAGTGGACTGAGTTGTTTATCATGATTGGTTGGCGATATTTTGAGGATCGTACTGCTCTAGCTTGATTCTTTTACGACCTACAGTTGATAATGAGACTCACGATGCTGGATCTCCTTGCGGGCAACTGGACGATGCTATACTCTAAGAGGTAACAATCATACAACGCTAAAACTCAAAAATATTGAATTTAATAAGTATGACTGAAAAGCTACTTTGTTGAACTTCTTTTCCAAGCTTGTATCGTACGTCTTGGAGAGGTCATTTACTCACTGTTAAGGAATTCAGTAAAATACCGCATGAATTTATTTATTCAATTTTTAATCCATCAAAGATGACAATTCCTAAGGAGGCTAAGTAAAGTCTTAATAGACCTAATCTGTTGAAAATCGTCAGACATTCGGCTTAATGAGAATATGATGAGAATATAAGTGTTAGTTAAGAAAATAGTTCTAATACTTGCACGTTACGTGGATGGAAGGATCGGAAGATTAATGTCAGTCATATATCGGTAACGTGGAGGATAGACCTACATGTCAGTTGAGCTTTCTTTCCGTTTTGAAAGAGAGGCCGTCTAGTACGTAGTTGGAAGAAGAAAGAAAACGAGCAGGCAGTCAAGCAGTCAGGCAGTCAGGCACGCGCAGTCATGCAGTCAGAAAGAGGGGTCTACTACATCGCTGGAAGAAAGAAGGAAACGAGAAGGAGTTAGGGAATCTAATAAGCAGGCCAACATGAGACGACCGCCGGTCAGTCGGTCAGTCGGTCAGTCGGTCGGTCAGTCGGTCAGTCGGTCAGTCGGTCGGTCAGTCGGTCAGTCACGGTCAGTCACGGTCAGTCAGCAGCCAGTCAAACAACTGGGTGATAGTCGTACTGTTCTATGGGGTTGGCTTTCTTCCCTCCTTGTTCGTTGCACCAACACTTTTCTGTCTCCACTGAACTTGCCCAGTGCGGAACTCCTGCAATCACAGTTTTTACACGGCTTTTGCATTGCACTTTCAGATTGAATACTACTGCCTTAACTCTGACGTTGTGTGGCATGTGGGTTGAAACTCGGCCCACATACTACACAAGAATTTCCCCCGTCCCGTTAACACTACGACCTTTAATTAGAAATGACTTTATGACTTTAATTCATGAAGGAAACACAATAGAAATCATGACCATGAAGGAGGTTTTATATCTGATATAGATTCGTCTTCATTTGCATAAACTTTAACTTGGATTTTCTCTATCAAACTTGGTTCATTTCGTAAGGACTTCCATACAATATGAGAACATCCATCATGAGTTTTTTAAGCCGTTCAATAAACTCGCAGATCGTGTTTTATCAGGTCTAAGACCACTCGGATACGCCTCGTGTTCATAAATCCTGATAAAATGCTTCTGCTCGTTTATTAGAAAGCCGTTTTTTAATATAATATTAATGCTCTCTTATACTATATCGAGCAGGTGTAAAGTTTGCCTCATATAAGAGCAACAAAAAACCGAGCGCACGAAAACCCAGAGCCAACACTCACAAATTATTAATCAATAAAAATTATTACTGCACTCTATTAGGTGTCAAAACCGATATTCTTGATAGGTGATATTTCCATGGCAACAAGATGAATATACCTTTTTACCTTGGGTGTGATGTTTTCCCATTGAGACCACGTGTTATTCCCTAGAGTATCATTTCTTTGTTTAACGGTTGCACATGACAAGACACATGAATCTTAGTCTCAAGAGTATGACACGTGGCATGAAATGGGGAAACATTACGCCCAAGGTAAATAAAGAGATCCATTCGAACAGTTCAGGAAATATCATATAAAACCACAGGGCTCCCACTCGCCTACGCACAATCAAACGCATTACCTTAACCTAACCTTCTCTTCTCAACATAGTTAAGGTATTTATAACCATCAACATTGTGCCGTTGTGAAGGTCATGAATCCTAATGAAGACGATGTACTTCGTCTTGTATTGATCGAGAACATAACGGCAGGGAAACAAACCCCGCCCACAAACACACATATGATGCAGTTTCCACGTTCAAGCATTAAACTGAGCGACTTCCGGTTCAATTCAAATATTATAGGGACTTACCCTTCCTGTTTTATGTTTTCAAAACTTGTTTAGAAGCGGAAGTTATACTAAAAAGTTTTTAATGCTGAATTTCGTCTTCTTTTTCTGAAATTCAAGTCTAAAATTATACATGCTCAGTGATTATGGTGAATATCGAAGACTCGTGGATCGGTAAATTTTCGCCGATATTCACTTCGCCCTAAGCAAATAATTGTTTAATAGTACAAAGTTCTCGACCAATCAGCGCACTCGATTTTCTATAATTACCTGGATAATGATACTAAATCATTCTAGCATAATTTCCTGGTTGAGTAAAGTTTGAAATGGGAATTTTCCCTAAATATTGCATGAGCTAAAGTATCGAGTTCTTTTTTGCCCTGTTCTAACACAGGGAACCCAAAAGCGAAGGGCTAGGAGGCTCAAGATGGAAAATCAGGAGAAGTAAAAATCAATATAAAAAGCAGTGAAGACTTATTTCATTTCGTCACGAGAAAACACTATTTCAAACAAAATTTCAAACAGCGCCGGTAGACTAGTATATTCTGTCACGCATTATTAATAAGGGATTTCCACCTATGGATTTCCTTTGTTGTAAGAAAGCCAACGAGACACACGCTCTTAGCAACCAAAAGATCCCCAACTGATGGGCATATTTTGAATAAGTGATACTCCGATTACAGATTTTGTAAAGGGAATTAGCATTTTTGCAAATTTTGCAATTTCTTTGACAGTACTAATAAAAAAAGTTCGCAATTTTCTTGATACCGTATTAATATAATTTAAAATTATATCATATACTAGTAAAAAAAAGTTCGCAAATTTATCAACTTTCATAATTTGCGAAGTCTGATACCGTATATATTCTTGGGTTGCACGTGACGTCACACTCACAAACATAATAAATGTCCGTCTCAAGATCTGTTTCCTTCCTTGCGCGCCTTAAAATTGCTGCAAAACTCCGGCAGGTTACAGAAATCCCTTTCTCTTGGATAATAACAGCCTTCCATCAAGCCAGCAGCAGCCTTCGACCAGTACGCCACTTTGGTAGTTGAATTCTTGATCTACTTTCTGCTTCGTAATTCACAATGTAAAGATTATGACGTCACACCTTAGCAACTGGAACCCCTGCTGTTCGCAAGTTTGTTCGGCTGTGGCTCGTTACTACCCCAACTTTGATATGCTAATAAGACATCAACTTCTAGAAAATATACTTACTCAATTTTAAGCACAGCTCAGCGAAGATGGCGATGAAAGAAAACACGATTATTTATCTTGCTTTGCTTTTTCCTTCGCTTTGTAATTTGAACACATCAACAGATGAAGCTATTCCTCTGATTACGGTACAGAAAAACGGGGACGAGGCACATGAGTTTATTCTAAATCCAGACGCCATTTCCATGATGAAACAAGTGTCTTCGCCAGTCAAGATCATTGCAGCTATTGGAGACGCTAGAGTCGGCAAATCTACAGCATTGAACTTTATTCATTACACTCTGAGCAACGTTAGTTCCTCAGCATCTGACACTAAAAATGTCGAAGAAATATTTGTAACGGGAGACACCATGAATCCCGTTACTCATGGCGTTTGGATAGCGAAACCAAATGGAATGAACGATGTCATATTGCTGGACGTGGCAGGGGTGGATCCAGGGTAGTTTACGTGATTTCCGTAAACTACTCAATTTTTTTCAAAGCTACACATTTCTTTCTAAA